TCAGCTGTTTGGGAACTGGGAAAATCCTGTTCTTGGAAGAAACTTAAGCTACTTAAAACTTTTCAACCTAGCATGGGAAGTACTGATACTTTCAGATTGCTTGGGGGCAGGGGATCTAGCAAAGCAGTTTTGCTTATGAGAGCTCTCTTGGGCTGCTGCACACCAGCAGGTGAGCTCTCCAGGGATCAGAGCAGTGTTTGCATCGTGCTGTGTCCATTTCCATTATTCCCCACCCTGAAATCAGGATCTCTGTAAGAAACCAGTGTTCCAGCTCCCATTCCCACACTCAGGACCTTCCTTTGGAGGTTCCTGCTGTGGGATTAGTGCTGGCAGAGAGTATCTGTTTCAGGATTATTCCTCAGGCTGCTCGGGGAGAAATGCAGTCAGGGCCTCTGCGTCCGGAGCTCGGCAGAAATGGTTTTGGCTGTAAATGATGACTTTGTGTGTCTGCTGGTGTCTCCTGTGGGTTCTTGACCTTTGTGGTTGCAGACTTGAAAGGGGTGAACATGTGAGCTGTGCAAACTGCTCTCCTTGCAGGAGGGTGTGCACTGGCTGAAAGGCTATTCTTTAATGTTTTCCCTTCCAGAACCCTAATGCCAATCCCAGACCCACAGCCCAGGACTTGGCTGGATTTTGGGATCTCCTCCAGCTGTCCATTGAAGACATCAGCATGAAGTTTGACGAGCTGTACCACCTGAAAGCTAATAGCTGGCAATTGACAGAGACACCGGAGAGAAAGGTGAGTGTGGGGCAGTGCGAGTGGCCAGAGCGCCTTGCACACATTTTGGATATCTGAGGTCTGTTTCTGTCTGCAAACAGATGCTCTCCAGGCTTCTGCCATCCTGCACTTGTGTAATCTCACAGCCTTGAAAGGCACTGAGGCCATTCTTTTTGAGTAATAGTGGGAACAATTTTGTACAAGGGGAAAAGGTGTTAGGATGGAGAGCCCAGAGTGGTTAAAGCAGTGGTGCAGGGGCCTCTAGTGTCCCCAGCACTGTGTGAATGAGTTTTATTCCTGGTGCCTGAGCAGTGTCAAAAAAAACCCTGGAACCTCTTGAAAGTACTGGAGAGGAGTGTCCCTGGCTCTGCAGGTCAGGGCAGCATATTAAAACTGTGCAGTTTCAGATCAAGTGGTGTCTTTACATCACCTGTGGTGTGCTCTGACCTACAGCTGGGCCAGTCTGTGAACTCCAGGCCACTTCAGAAGGCTCCTGTAACCATGAAACCTGCATGAAGCTGTGTCAGGGGAGGGTTAGGTTGGATGTTAGGCAGAGGTTCTTCCTCCAGAGGGTGTTTGGGTACTAGAACAGCTCCCCAGGGCAGTGGTCATGGCCCCAAGCCTGACAGAGCTTAGGAAGCATTTGGTCAATGCTTTCAGGCACAGGTTGGATTGCTGGGGTCTCCTGTACAGGGCAGGAGTTGGACTGGACGATCCATGTTGTGGATCATCTATCTCCAGGTCGTGGACTTCCCATTCCTGGAAGTATCCAAGGCCAGGTTGGACACTGAGCCATCCAATCCGATCTAGTGGAAGGTGTCCCTGCCCTTGGCAGGGGGTTGGAACTGGATGATCTTCCAATCCAAACCATTCTGTGATTCCTCGCGGGTCCTTTCCAGCACAGGACATTCTATGAAACGCGATGTGGCGTTTCTAGAAACTGGAGAAGCTGATTTTGATGAGTGTCTTGCTCAAGAGCTGCTCCTGCTTCTCTCCTCTGACACTTGATCTCACTGAGCGCCTCACGCCATCAGGGCCCCACCAGGTCAGCGCAGGCATCTGCGTGCACATGTTTATTTTCGGTGTGGGTTTTTCCTTACTGTCTCCCTAAAGGAAGAGAAGAAACCACCCCCTCCAGTGCCAAAGAAGCCAGCCAAGTCCAAATCGCAGCTGAACCGGGACAAGGCGTCCGACTCGGACAAGCAGCGCCAGGAGGCGCGGAAGCGGCTGATGGCAGCCAAGCGCGCGGCATCCGTCCGGCAGAACTCGGCCACGGAAAGCGCCGACAGCATCGAGATCTACGTCCCCGAGGCACAGACCCGGCTCTGAGCACAGGGCTTTTTGTAAGTCATTAAAGAGGAAACAAAAAGGTTCTCTCGACACTAGTGTGATTTGTTCTGTCTAGAGACAATGAGCCATCCTTGAAAAGGGCTCCTGAGTTGGCTTTTTTCTCTCAGCTTTAAGTAATGAAGATTTTGACAAAAAAAGGTGAAAACATGCAAAAAAAAAAAAAAAACAAACCCAGAAAAAAGAACATGCCCCTCGTTTTCTCCCTGGCTGTGGTGTCACTGAACGGACTGGACAGACTCCTGGGCACTCTCCAGCCCCTCGACGGGGAACTGCAGTCTTTTTACTTGTTCTATCTCATGAGAATTATTAGCCTGTTTACAAGAAAACAAAAGAGGACAAGAAAACATGAAGCCTTGAGCACTTGCCATGCTGTGTTCTTCCTCCTCCTCCGATCCGTTCTGCCCTTCTCATCCTTTGTTTTTCCCTCCTCCCTCTCTCCCACCCCTTGCATGGCTTCCGTTCCCCGCCCGAGCCTCCCTCTCCGCGCGGAGAACCGGTCAGCGTGCCCTGCTGCCAGCAGCTGCCTCGGGCTCCTGTTCCTTGGGACGGGGTGGGGGAGGACGGGGCAGGGCTGTATCCTCCACCGGAGTGAGGGGATCTGTGGAATGTACTGCAGAGGGGCCGAAATGCAGCCCAGAAGCAAAATGGTGCAATATGCTGGCAAAGAGGGAAGGGACAGCGATCCCGAGAGCCAGACCCCTGCGGGCACAGGAGGGGAGCTGAAGGACCACAGAGCACGAGCCACATCCCTTTGAGTTTTCTCCTCTTCCCTTCCTGAATTATTTCCCTTGACTTGCTTGTGGAGACAGAAGCTGCTGCACTGGGAGCTGTGTGAGGCCGGGGCTGCTGGTGCTGGTGCTGGTGGAGGAGAGCTGTGTGTGTACAGGAGGGCTGGGGTGGCCGGGGCAGGCTGCCTGCCTGTATGATGTGTACATATGCACATATACACTTAGTAGTACCTGTATAGTAATTCCTACACACGTATACCTGCCCACACACACCGTGCAGGTGGGGACACACACCTGGGTGAGAGTGGGCAGATGTATAGCATATATTTTTACATGTACTATATCTAGATGTGTGTAAAAGTGTGTGTAAAAATATATACCCTGTGTGTAAGCAGATGACTATTTTTTCCTTATCTCCTGCTCTCTGGGTAGAGGAAGGATTGCTCAATATTTTTTAGCCCATTTTGCCCTTTGTAGGTCTCCTTTCCAGCCTGGCTCCTCACAGCCAGAGCTGCCACCACCCGATTCTTTGCCACCCCCTCACACTCTAAAGGTTTTTGTCCCATCCTGAGGGATTTGCTGGGGATTTATTATTTTTTTTCCTCTTCACATGTTTGGACAAGTTTGGAGATTGTGTGCTACTGTCATGGGGGTGGAGGTGGAATCCCAGAGGTTTCAGTGAGAGTGTTGGTGATCCAGAAGGCAAAAAATAAATAAAAGTGAAACCCTGAGTGCTGTCTGGTGACCATTGTGTGCTGCCAGGGGTGTCCTGGAGAGGTGCTCTTGGAAGGTTCTGCCCACAGCCACAAACTCTCAAACAGGGGCTTGGGTTCCCATCAAAGCTTGGCTGTGATGTGGTTCACATTTGGCATTTGGCTTGAGGTGTGGGTTGGGCTCTGCTCCCAGACAACAAGGGGAAATGGCCTCAGGTTGCTCCAGAGGAGGTTTAGGTTGGATATTAGGGGAAATCTCTTCATGAAAAGGGTTGTCAGGCACTGAACAGGCTGCCCAGGCACCCCTGGAGGAGTTCAGAAGGCGTGTGGAGGTGACCCTTGGCAACATGGGTGGTGTCTCATCAAAGCTTGGACTCTGTCCTGGAGTCCTCAATGATTCTGTAACCTGTGTGGGCAGAGACACTTGGCTTGCACTGTCAAGTGTTGGGGAGAGTTGTCACAATGCAGTTTGAGGGGTCTCTAGCAGTGAAATGGGAACACCAAGGAAATGTTTATTTTTCTAATTATTTATTAATTTCTTAAATATTTTTATGTTCCATTTACTCTTCCCCAGGTGGCTGAGGCTGCTTCTGGGAGCTGACCTGGAGAGCTGCCAGGGCTGGCA